CCGCCCTAGAGCTGGTACTCAAGGTGAGGATTCAGAACCCATCTCTTCGAGAAAATGATTTCATTGAAATTGAACTGGACCGACAGGAGCTCACCTATCAAGAGTTGCTCAGAGTGAGTTGCTGTGAGCTGGGTGTTAATCCAGATCAAGTGGAGAAGATCAGAAAGTTACCCAATACCCTGGTAAGAAAGGTAAGAGAGGTCTGAGCAGTTGCTTGCTTTTTGCATTTGGAAAATACCCAGCTTCCTCCTTGGCTGGATGAGTCATAGTTGAGAACTGAGAAGAGAAGAGAAAAGGGGCAAAGGGTGGTTTTCCAGATGAGCTTTCTTTCCCTCTCCTGGTCGACAGGGACATGACATTTTTGAAGGCGGTAGCATAGCAGAGAGAATTTTCTGAATTACCGTTCTGTGTACCTGGCTTTGGTTGTTTGTGTAGTGACACGTGAGGATTACACTATCGCATCTCGGAGCACCTGGGGAAAACTGGTCTGAATGGCCTCTCCCTCCAAGTCCAAGGTGCGCTCATCCTGCAGGAGCTGCCGTTCGGGGCTGCCACCCTCCCATCCTCCAGGCAGCCCAACTCACGCCCCTGGGGACTTCCCCGCACCGTCACCAATGGGCACAGTCACCAATGGCCTGCCACAGGGATTTTCTTTTTTTTTTAATGTTTGTTTATTTTTGAGACAGAGACAAAGACAGAGTGTGAGCAGAGGAGGGGCAGAGAGAGAGAGAGGAAGAGAGAAAGACACACACACATACACACACACACACACACACACACACAATCTGAAGCAGGCTCCAGGCTCTGAGCCATCAGCACAGAGCCCCATGTGGGACTCGAACTCACAAACCAGGAGATCACGACCTGAGCCAAAGTCAGACACTTAACTGACTGAGCCACCCCAGGCTCTCCTCTTCTAGGCTTTAAAATGACCTAAGAGGGGCGCCTGGATGGCTCAGTCAGTTAAGCATCCGACTCTTGATCTTGGCTCAGGTCATGATCCCACAGGTTTGCGAGTTCAAGCTAGGCATCAGGCTGTGCACTGTCAGTGCAGAGCCTGCTTGGGATTCTCTCTCTCCCTGTCTCTCTGTCCCTCCCTTGCTTGTGCTCTCTCTCGCTCACAGAATAAATAAATAAACTTAAAAAACGTTTTTACAAACAAGCAAACAAACAAGTAAATAAATAAATAGAGCTAAGGTACTGGTGTCAACATAACACCTCAAACATACAGAGACAAGTGGCCCTTCATTTTTTTTTTTTTTTTTTTAATTTTTATTTTTGGGACAGAGAGAGACAGAGCATGAACGGGGGAGGGGCAGAGAGAGAGGGAGACACAGAATCGGAAACAGGCTCCAGGCTCTGAGCCATCAGCCCAGAGCCTGACGCGGGGCTCGAACTCCCAGACCGCGAGATCATGACCTGGCTGAAGTCGGACGCTTAACCGACTGCGCCACCCAGGCGCCCCTCATTTTTTTTTTTTTTTTAAATTAAAAACACTATATTCCTACAAGGAATTGTCTGCATCACAGAGG